CATTTAGATGCATTTACACACTGTTTAATGCAGCTCTGAGAGACATTAAATACTTTAACCTGCAGTTACAAATGCATAAATAATGTTTTGATACTTTAAACATAAAACATTAAAAACTGATGTTTGAAATTATTTTAAAAATGAAAAGGTACCTTAAATGTGACATCAAAACCGCCAGTAGGTGGCAGCAAGTCACTTTTAGTAAGTGATTCATTGCGTTTGAACCGAATCATTTAAACAAGTGATTCATTCAGGAACTAAACACTGTTGTGTTGCTCAGAGACACAAAACAGCGCTGTGGCTGTGTTTGGAATTATTTTTGTTGGCGAAATAGAGCAAAAACAGGAAATATGGTGTCTAAAACGTAAGTCTCTTAATATTAACTTCTTGTTTATTGAACTGTTGTATAAAATAAATATCACATTTGTAATGTAACTTTTGGAGAAAAAAACGGCACTCTTCGTGTGATATTAACTATATGAAATGATTAAAAAATATACATTTTCTGCCCCATATCTTTAATTATGTGATAATTGTAAATGCATTTTAATAGACTGATTAATGCAGTGAAAGAACGCACTATAAATGCGCACACTCACTAGTCTAACCTGCTAGACTTCATCACCTAATGTATGCGCGCATTCTGTAGGTGTTTTGTTTGCTTTTCGTGATACTCATAATATCAAATCGCACATCCTTAAAACAACAATTACGATATGATCGCAGACCATACATATCACACACCCCTATGTTTAGATTTTTATAATGCATTGTCTTCTTATCGATCCACCAGTTCACATTTAAAGCTCTGCGTGTTTGCAGGGTAAAAACATGGGTCGATTTTTGCATTGGTCTGAACTCTGATTGAGTTTTATTGAAAATGCTCATTCATTCTCTGCCAGCAGGTGGAGCGTTTGGTAGAAATATCACTGTTTCCCGGGTAACAGCAGAACACAGAGCAGTGCAGCACTGGACTTTGAACCTGCAGCGCTGGTGTTTATTTCATGAAATCATAGCCTTTTGAAGTTTAATCGTCACATTCAGCCATATCGCAATTCTGGTCTTTCCGTCCCCAAATTTAAGACCTCTTGAAATCATAATTAAGACTTTCTTGTACAACTTAAGACTTTTTTAAGGCCTTAAATTTGATACAACTAAATTTAAGACTTTAAGACTTTTTTAAGACCCACGGAAACCCTGCACACACACACACACACCTGTATTTTTCCTTTGGGAGTGGCAGCTTCTGGAGGTTGACTGACGGACTCTCTCACTCTCAGGAGGTTAATCTGCTCATTCAGCTGTTCCACCTGTTAATGTGTGCGCGCACAAAAATACTTCTATTATGTTACACTAATAATAACTAATAATACACTACACAACTTTTGCCCAGATTTACAGTCTGAAGAAGTCAACGCAAGGTGCCAAAAGTCTGTATATTGGAGTTGACTTTTCATAGAAAAGCGTGTAGTGTACGATGGGCACAGACACAATTTTTTTAGCTTCAGACTATGAGTCCCATCCATTCGTCGGAGATCAAACATGTTTGATATTTTCAGCCGATTTTAGAGCCTTAAGTGACAAATTTGCAGCCAAATGCTGTAATCTGATTAGATGCATGACATTTGATGTCCAAAAGATATGGAAATAATTTTCTCCTCCCTTTTATTTATAAAAAAAAAAAAAAATACTGTTATAACTAAAAAATGATTATATTTTGCATTTCACATTGTTGTCTACGCCACATCGGAACAACACTGAGACCCATTTTTGGTTCGCAACTAACCTGTGTAGAACCACTAGTTTAGTGCTCATTATACAAAAATAAATAAATAAATACATAAATACAAATTGCAGTGTGACGAATTTCACGACTGATCAATCAGAATCAAGCAATCCAGAGAGCTATTGACAGTGACTGACTGACAGACTCTACATTAGGGATGCACGATATTATCGGAACGTTATCGGAATTGAAAAAATTTTTTTTTGCCGATATGCCGATAAGATGGATAGCTCACATGTGTGCAGAGTATAGTGATAAGATCACGTCAGCAGTGTGGTCATTCTTGAAGCGAACTTTTGCCTGAACGATGATTTGATTCACTGTTTTGTATCGCTGCGTTTAATTTGAGAATGCATGTACAGAATGACGCGTCCAGTGCGCGAGAGTCAACAGAGTCTTTCATTTACTTTGAGGGCGCTGTTGGCCTACTTGTAATAAAATGAAAGTAAAATACACAAATATCATTAAGATACTTGTGTTTCTGAATAAATAAAGCAGTATCGATGTCATAAAATCATGAGTCTGTTTTGATTTAAAGGGGACCTATTATGCAAAAAAAAAATCACTTTTGTAAGGTGTTTGAACACAGTTGTGTGGCTGCAGTGTGAAAACAACCAGCCTAAAATGGTAAAAATCCACCCACTCATTTTTTAATAATCCCAATACATCATAAACAGTCTCTCAGAACAAGCGATTCCAGATTTCTCCCTAGCTACACGTCACCATAGGGAAAAAATCCAGCCCATTTGTGACGCTCTCTGCCCTATTAGCATAGACACAGGCCTGAGTGAAGCAGCAGTCCGCCATTACTGGAGATAAACAATGTCCGCGCCAAAGAGGCAATACAAGTGCTGTGTTTTGGGATGCACCAATGAACATAGGAGCTCCATAGACTCCCTCCATCTAAGGACACTGTGGTCAAGTTTAATTTTCAAAGGAAATGTACCGGAAAAAAATCGATTAAGTCATGCCAATCACTTTACCTGCTTAAAAAACGAGGGTCATTTCAATGCTGGATTTTCGCAAAGTCTGATTCTGAAAGAGGGATCAATACCAACGTTTTGTGAGCGAACGTCAGATCCAGACAAAGTAAGCGCTTCATATTTTGTTTTCAAATTGCCTTTCTGAAAGAGCTTCTTGGCACTCTGAGAGGCTAATGTTGCTAAAGTTACCATCGTCTCTGCCTGTTTTCACTGACGCTGCCTTCACGTGCTTCCAGAACGATTGTAAATAGGAATGTGGTAGTTAAAAAATGCATATGAAAACAATGTGAAGTCGATCGCTTGAGAGTTTCTAGCAGTTTCAGTGCGTGAGATTGTTCGTTGTTGTCGGTGTGCCGGACTCTGAAGCTCCGCCCTCTTCTGAAAAGGGGGCCGGGAGCACCAGCTCATTTGCATTTAAAGAGACAAAGACAAAAACGGTGCGTTCTGGCTCATACCCTAAAAGTGGCAACTTAAGCTATAAAAAATTATCTGTGGGGTATTTTAAGCTAAAACTTCACATTCACACTCTGGGGACATCAGAGACTTATTTTACATCTTGTAAAAAGGGGCATAATACGTCCCCTTTAAAGGTCAGAAGCTATAGCTTGCATGAATAAAAATTACAAACATGACACCTGTAAATTAAATAATTTAATATATACAGATTTATTCAGTTAAAATATTTTTTTTTGAATTTTTTGCTTTAGACCTTCTATTAATGTTAAATCCACAAATGAAATGTTAAGGTTTCAACTGCATCTGTCTTAGGGGGGATTAAATAAATAAATAAATAAAAACAGCAGCAGATTGTATTACACTTATTTTCAAGGCTTTCAATGTACTCTCATTAAAAAAATAACTTTAATAAAGTTTATTACTTCTAACAAATAGGTTTTTGCTCAAAACAAACCAAAATTAAAAATCATTTGTTTATAATTTACACACAGGAGAGACTTGGTGTTGTTTCAAAACAAAGGGAAATATATATACTGGCATCGACGATTTGAAAAATATCGGCAAAAATCTAATATTGTGCATCCCTAGTCTACATGATCTCATATTTGATTTAAAAGCTGTAGCATGAATTTGAGGCAGGAGGAGCAGTACCTGTTCTTTCAGGGAGTTTATATTGTTCTCTTTCTCTGTGTTCAGGGTCCAGGAAGTCTCCAGTAAAGCAGCCTGCTCCTCCACCACTTTACCGAGTCTCTCCACCTCATCTGTAGCGTAGGACAGATCTTCCTGAAGCAGCTCCAACTGTGACACACAACACTTTAGTTTAGGCTTTTGACAAAAACTCAAAACACAAACCAAGTAGCACACACACCTCTACACGGTCAGAAGCCAGGCGTCTCTCTGAAGCTTCTCGCAGCTCCTGCAGTTCATTCTGCATGTGTGTCATGCTCTCCTTCATCTGCTCTTTCTCAGTGCAAACAGTGCTGTACTTGCCCTGTGGGGTGCAAAACTCACAATATCAATACAAGCTTCCTAAAGCACTGAGTGAGTCGACCGGCCAAGCCACCTAATTTCTACAGCACTTTATACAATAGACTCAACTATGAAGACCGTTCGGATTCTGCTGATCTAAAGTGGATCTAAAAGACAGAGTCATTATTTAGATCAAGTCAGTTCACTGTTGGTTCAGTTCAGATAGGGCTGCATGATAAGTTGTATTAATTGTGATCACAATTTCTTTCTCTCGATTAAGCATAAATGTGTGTGATATTTACCTGCTGGTTATTCATCCTGAAAACGTTTCATTTAACCTGCCAACAATGTGCACAAACTCTCTCATCATTACGAAAAGCTGAGCTGAAGTCTCTGGCAAGTTTAGCAATCCCTTTAGAGATCTTGTTCTTGTTCAAATATTTGACCCTGGACCACAAAACCACAAGACCATAAGGGTCAATTTTTTGTCATTTTGACCCATACAATGTATTGTTGGCTATTGCTACAAATATAGCTACTCGTGCTACTTAAGACTGGTTTTGTGCTCCAGGGTCAGATATAGAGATACTCACACTGATGTCAGCGATCTCTCCTCGCAGCAAACACACAGTCTGATCTCTCTCAGCCACCTCGCTTCGAAGATCTCTGGTCTCCTGCATCAACTCCAGCACCACATCCTACACACACAGACACAGACACACAGACACACAGACACAGACACAGACACACACACACACACACAGACACAGACACAGACACACAGACCCACAGACACACAGTGAAACGCCAGCTACTGTAAATCAGTTCATCTTACTATTGTTTTCCGTTAAAATATGGATAGAAATAAAAAAATAACTATACATATATATAAAATACAATGACAGCATTCTTAGATGAACATCAAGATTAATTTAATCAAAAACCTAATAAGATCATACTGAGAAACCACCTGATTGCATGAATCATGCTATTTTCAAGAAATGTATTTAGGAATTTATTAATTAAACTACAGCATAATGTATTATAAGCATAAACCTCACTAAAATTAATTATTTGGACACTAAGCAATAAGTAATATATTACATTGATGTGAATTTCAACATTTACTGATATATTTTGACATTGTTAATGTTAACATTAATTCATAATTATAGCATTTATTAGCTAACGATACAGAATAAATGAGCAAATCCTAACTAACCTAACTATGTTATCATCTTTATTTCTCAACCTCTAACAGCCCTTTTTGCAGTGCATTGCGTTCTCACTTTGTCCTGTTCGATCTTCTGCTTGAGGCTGTTGATTGTCATGTTGGATGAACACACACTCTGCTTTAGAGCACTGATCTCATCGCTCTGCACACACACACACACACACACACACACACACACAGCAGATACACCAGAATCAAGTCACGCAAAACAGCATCAGAACATTGCAAATTACAAATCACAAGACTAAAACTGTGTACAGACACACACACCTGTTGTTGATTTTTGTTTGTCAGCTCCGCAATGTGTTTCTTCAGTGAGGCATTCTCTTCTACAGACTGCACAAGCTCTCTGAAATACACACTCAACATCAAAACGCCTCTAGGTGCATATGCTTTTACTAATGCAAACGACAAGTGCATACAGATACAGCTGCTACAAAAAGTATTTGATCCACTATTATGTCTTACATTAAAAAATGACCAAGCTACAAAAATTGCTTATATTTTTTTATGCTACATTACCAAATATTGGATACATTTTTATCAACTTGTTTTTCCCCAATCAGCACAGATTTTGTATTTCTTTTTAGAACTGACAGATCGTAGGCCTCATGGATCTGAGCTTATGCACCTCAGTTTTTGAGCGAACATTGCCAGAATTATTATTTTTTTACTCAAAAACATAATGTGCGTAAGGACAGATCAGGAGCATGAGGCCTGCAATCAATTAGTTCAAAGAGATTAAATCCAGTATACCATGGTCTGTCTGAATACTCAATTCTGATTGGCTCCACGTCGTGCATTAAAATCGTTTAATGCACAGCAAGCCGTGCATTATTCCTTACATATAAAACGATGAGAGATTTACAAGCAGTTTTTAAAAGGTCAGTCATCTGACAACACTTCCACTTTATATCACAGCATATATATATTGTTTAACCATTTAAAGTCCAAAAATAAATACATTATTCTTTAAAATAAGCCCAACTCACTTTGATATTTAATTTTAAGTTTAATATTAAAACCAAATAACATTTCACTTATGCTCTCTATGTAAGTGTCTAAATACTTTTGGTGCCACTGTATACAACAAAACTATTCAGAGTTAAATCAACAAGTCCCTTTTCCACACATTGCCTCTGTGTTTGATGTTGGTATTAGATATTATAAAGGGGGTTTGATAGGTGTTTGCATGCCTCTCTCACTCACTTGGACACACTCTCTCTGTGTGCGGTCAGCTGGGATCTCACACTGTTGTTCTGCTCTTTTTCTTCCTGAAGAGCATGCAGCAACTCCTACAAAACCACACCATGCAGTCAATACTTTGATAATAGCTAGATCTTCAACCACAAAACAAACGAAATGGGGCATCTAACTTAAAACCATTCAACCCAAGCATGTTTGAAACACAGGCACATTAGGTAAGAGTGTTTAGGAATACTGACATTGATCTTGGCTTGAATTCCTGAGCACTCTCGGCTCTTGAGCTCCATCTGCTGTGTGTGCTGATCCAGCTCAAACTGAAACTCGGCCTGCAGCGTGTCATGCGTGTCCTGAAGAACACGCTGCTCCTCCAGCACCTGCTCCCACTCCAGCCTGAGACGACATGCAGGGCTTACTAAAGACAGGCAGTCCTAAATGCATTCTGTATGGTGTTCTAAGACAATTGGGTTACAAAACTGTCATGAGAATCGTCATCTGTCATTTTGCAATCGAAGATGGAGTTGGTCGCGTAGAAATATTTCACCTAAAAGGCGAGCCCGAGGATAAGACACAGGCAATTTGCAAACTTAGCATGAGAGTTATTTACTACAGAGAAAAAAAAAAAAAAAAAAAGGTAATTCAAAGTGCTTTACATAAAAGGAAGTAAAATAATCATCAAACAATAATCACAACAATAAAACAAGGAATTTAAATGGAAAAAAAATTATTTAAAAAAAAAAAAAAAAAAAAAAAAAAAAAAAACCTGTCCAAGCTTTTGGCATCTCTCACTGCATTAACTCTCTCAGAGACGAGAGATGAATCCATCTCAACACTTGCTGATAATGGTAGGCTATATCAAATACCATAAATTATTGGCTCAATATCTCTCTTGTTGTGGCTCATACATTAATGACAGTGAAAAAAAAGAGAAGAATCCATATTTCTTGGTAAACAATGTTTTTTTATAACTCTTCCTTTAGATTTTCATTGATGACTGATTACGGTGCAGTGTTTGGACTTATTAACCATCTGGTGCTGTTTGGTCGTTTTAGACTGAAAAGAGAAAAATGTTTGGAAATTTAAAAAATCGCTACTTCATCGGAATAGTATGAAACTCAGTGACTTTTATGGCAGTCGCTATACGACCCTCCCCCCAAAAAACGTGGACTTGATTAGAAAAAGCTACATGGTTGAGAAAAATAGTCACACTTGTGTTGTTCGCGGTCTAAAATGACCGCCATTGGAAATTAATGGGAAATAGGCAAAAATACGAAAAAACAAAGATGTTTTTTGTGTGTACAATCTACAAATCAGCCACAATGCAGAAAAAAAAGTGCACAGCAATGAAGGGGTGACACAATTTGGCCTTAAAACACTGCTCAGTAACTAAGGAATACACAGCACTGAATATATACGGCTATACAGCCATCTAAAGGCTACACCATGGTATTACAGGTGATTTACATTATTTTTCCACAAGGTGGAACAAATCTGCCTCAATTCAATGGATTTTAAATACTTTCTCTGTTTTTAACTTAAATACTGCATTAATTGAACAATTATATATATATATATTTTTATTTTTACATTTTATACAGAAAATATTCCGTAATTTTTATATTAATATTAATTAGTAACATCAAATACACTCAAAATGCTAAATATTAAAGAAAAACATTATTGAAATGAAATCTAGTATATTCATTTCACAAAAATAAAATAGTATATGATTATGGCCTCTGGTCTGTTTTGACCGGAAAACAACACAAGTGTGACTCCCAAATGAACAATAACAGAGAGTTAAAAACAGTTTTATTATAACCTATAATTTTAGTCAGACTCTTATTATTATTTGTTATAAGTGTCATTAAAATGTTTTGATAATGTGCTATGGAAACAAAATGCTGAAGAACAACGATGCCCTTTTCAAACAGCGACTGTAGAAGAACAACGAGTCTCTATTTTAGCAAGCAACTCAATTGTGAATAGATCACTCAATTCAGTTTTGATGTGGGTCTAGTTTTGTAGTTTTATATACCTCATACCCATGTGTCAGTGTCACAAGCGACTTCTTTAACTTTTTGGATAACTTTTTTTTCTCCATAATTTCAATTGTATGTACTTAGGCATATGACGGTATGAAATGTTCATGTTCACTCGTTATAAATCTCCTAACTGTGATATTTTCAGAAATAGAAGTCGTGTTTTTTTTCATCTGAAACGTGCTGCGATTTATATTCCAAAGCCACTCAAATGATGCAGAAACACTCAACACGCCAAAGTCGTGCCCCTATACTAGTCTGTAAATGGTCTTATTTTTACGATTTAGTTTTAATCCAATGATGCGCGTGCTAAGTGAGCGAACATCAAAGATCACACATTAATGAGTACGAGTACAGGAGCTCAGTATCGGGGTGCATCCAACCAATAAGTAACACTTTACAATATTCACAGCCATATCACCCTGCAGCCCGAGACTGGTTGCCCACTGAAGCTAAGCAGGGTTGAGCTGGTCAGTACCTGGATGGGAGACCTCCTGGGAAAGCTAGGTTGCTGTTGGAAGAGGTGTTAGTGAGAACAGCAGGGGGTGCTCACCCTGTGGTCTGTGTGGGTCCTTATGCCCCAGTGTGGTGACGGGGACACTATACTGACAAAAAGCATCGTCTTTCGGATGAGACGTTAAACCGAGGTCCTGACTCTCTGTGGTCATTAAAAATCCCATGGCACTTCTCGTAAAGACTAGGGGTGTAACCCCGGTGTCCTGGCAAAATTGCCCCCCTGGCCTTTGTCAGTTATGACCTCCTAATAATCCCCAACCACTTGATTTGCTCTATGGCTCTCTCTCCTCTCCACCTGTAGCTGATGTGTGGTGAGCGCACTGGTGC